TGTAAACTTTGATCGAGTTCAAGTGACCCAAAGTACGCGGTAGAGTTAGGAAAGCAGTTAGATAGATCGAGTTTCATCGTTGTCCGATAATTTTTCTGTTTTTTTCTTTTTTTTAGTACGAAAAATGCAGCTTGATTTTACTTTCTGCCCTATTTTTGGTGATAATTTGTGGTTAATATCGGAAATTGTATTTTACTTGTAAAATGTCAAAAGCAATTAAAAGATATTAAAACTTCCGTAGAAACTGGAAAATATCCAGATGTGGATAAATTGTTAGCACATAATACTAATTTTGGAATGGAAAAAGCATTTCGATAATTTTGATTGAGAAACCTTTAGTCATAAAAACAGTTAGAAACGAATGAATTAATTCAAATTCTAGTAATCGTTTAAAATATTTCAAAGATTTAATTACGTATCTTTTATTTAATCGATTCGACATTTTTACTTTGATTTAATTTTAAATAAATGTAAAAATACTAATAAGCAGAAAAAATTGTTCGAATCATAAAACTGATGTTTAATAATATAATAAATGTTTAATAAAAAATAAAATACTTAATAAAATATATAATTGTAAAATAAAATAATTAATAAATGTTCTTAAATATTTCAGTGGGTGTTAAAGCTCTCAAATATTTCGGATTTTAATGAATAAATTATCAACCCATAAAATGTCATGCATTTCATTATTTATGATTTATACGTATGTGCACAGTACACATATGTATGAAACAATATAATGGAAATTATATAAAATCATTTTTTATGTTCCAAACCATAATTATAATTTCATGTTTCCATGTTAGAGAATGCTTTCTTTTATTAGAAAGATTGTACGTCTTTTCCAAATCATCGCCGTCAGTACTTGAAGTCGTAGCAATTAAAAATTAATTGCCTCTGAAAATTACTTGTTTCTACGGTAAATACAACTCGTAATGTAGAGGCTGTTTCCTATCTCGCCGTACAAGCCATTTTCTTCCGCATATATAAACTTGGCTATTGTTTGAACAAGTCGTTCCAGCTTAACAATATAGTACACGTTTCTAGATTATCGTATAAAACACATTTCTCGCGAGAAACTAGGGAAAGTATCCAAAATTATGATAAACGAGTGCAGAATGTATGATAATACGTTTTTAATGTTGCAATTATAGGTATGTATAAATTGGAGTAATTATTATTATTGAAATTAATATATCTAAGGTTGAAATAGATTAGTTTTGTATTATTATCAAATGAATCCTTTATAATTAATCCTTTACAGCACGTACAACATTCCCACATTTGTCATTGATTTATATTATAGTATAATATATTAATACTATTATAGAAAATAAAATTGTTTTCACTATTATTTCTATTTACATTTTTATAGACATACGTAGATATTAATTCTAAATATGTACATCATAACTCATTCTGAGTAATGATTGAAATTTCATGAAATAAAAGGTCAAAGAACTTTCAGAATCTTTGAAAAAATAAGTCAAAATTCACTGTCAATTACCATTGAGAAAATATGGAGAAGAAGCGAATTTCAGTTTAACTACGATTTAATCTTTTGTAGAATTTTGTAGGGAATTTAGCTTTTAATATAGAACACAATTAAATTTTCGATTTTAATTTTTTATAAAATTTTTTGTTTTAATTTAGTCACAATTTAATATACTCTATTTAGTTAATATAATAAACACAATTTTTTGTCCCCTAAGCTACATAGGTAATAAATCATTTATTATTCTGCTGTGTTATTGATTATTCAAAACGAACGGACATCGTATTAATTATTTAAAAACAAGATAATGCAATTACAGAAAATTAATCAACGTTTATTAAGTGAGAAGTCTTATAAAATTACTAAATTCAGAATGTTACAAGAAGGTTGAGTAAAAATCGGAGCATTTGTCCCATTTAATTTGTCGTATTAATATTTGTCAAAATAAGAAAGAAAGCAACAAGACCTAAATAGAAATTTATTTTATGACTAGAAGATTATAAAAATATGATTTTTACTTTAAGTTTTTGCATAATGCATACGTCTCACGTATCTGCGTTTAAGATCATACACGAAAACATATTGTATATCACGTACTTCTGTTACGTATTTATCTTATCAAACTAATTCAGTTTATGACAATTGCGTAAACTATTAATAACAATAATATATAAAATATTGTAGTATCGTAAATATAATAATTAGTTTATTAATAATAGATGGATTAAACAGAAAACAATGGTTATTTAACATGAACTAATCGTGACAACGTATTATAATTAATTAACAACTTTCGTCAACACAGACTCAACTCTCTCTCTCAACAACGCTAACAACACTATCTCGACAACGCAATCCGCACTCTCTGGCTTCTCAACTCATACTGCCGTTAATTCGTTTATGTCCCTTAGCAACCCTTTGTCTTTTGTCTTAGCCTCGTATCTTTTGTTTAAGCCCCATCATACACATACTCGGCAACCGCTTGTTTGTAATTCGCACGACACCCCCCCCCCCTCCCAGGCCCCTCGTTCACGATACTACAATATTATATGTGAAAATGTGAAATATGTGAAATATAGGTAACATGAAATCGTACAGTTGCAATTTCGAGTGATTGGTTAAGCGTAAGATGTAATGGTTTGTGTCTCGAATAAGCAGAATTCGGTTTGATTAAGTTCATAATATCATTCCCTGTAGGAGAAGATAACTTTGCAATTGCAAATATGGACAAAGCGCTTATAATTTATTATCGCACAAACTATACATACCAAAGTAATCGGAAGAACATTGTTAATCTAAAATTATCGCTCAATACCTTATCGCAACTATTCGATACACTAAACTTATATTAAACATATTGCTAACATACTTTGCATAGTTCTCGTGCAAATTTGCATATTCTATATGCATAGATGTCATATATTTCTTACACATTTACGATGCATAAACATCCGCCATCTACTCATGACAATGCTAACGAGATTTCAAAATAATTCTTATAACACGAATAATACATTCATAAAATATGTCTGTAAATATCTGAATATTCTTGTGTTGTGTAGTAAAATAGCCGCGGACTCTGCCATTAAAATGCAATACAGCGAGCCTAATTTCTTCTTCGTTCCATGCAAAAGAAGAAAGAAATACGGCGAACGGAAACGAAAGAGGGCGGTTTAGACAGAGGCAAAAATTCCGTAGGTATTCGTCCTCTTTTCTTGTCGAGACGCGAAACTTTCCAGTTTGAAACCCAGCAAGTCAATGTGTTTCCTGGCGAACACGTAAAAGTGCGACCATGTCGGCCGAGATTTCCAGCGAAACGAGATCACCAACATGACGTGGAAACTTTTTCCAAGTTTCATCTCGTGAACGTCGCGTCGATTTGTTATGCTTGCTCGTAGGAAAGATTGCTCAATTTCGAGAGGAATGTCGTATTGATCAAATTAGGACTGTGAAATGAAATTACAACCTGCCAAATAATGATTCATAGCATGTTCGATTTAACGTGATTTTTTGAATGAAAATTTATCGCTGTTATGGAAAATCCTATGCTTTCATTTTCTTCAGCTTTCAATGTTTATTTAATTTCGAATCTATGAAAATACAAAAGATATTCCCTAATCTTCCAATTTTCATAGAACGATACGCAAAATTTTGTTCATTTCTAGACACAAAATATGTGATAGATTTCAATACTTCATTTTGAAATATATGTAAAGTATATGCTCCTTTTATTTTTATCACGAGTTACACATTTTTCAATCATATTTTACAATTGCAGTGAACAGCAATAAAGTTCAACAATAAAAGAAAGCAATTGAAAAATAAACGAAACCAAAGATCCTGGTGTGTTATGAATTAATATACTGAAATAAATAGAAATTACAATGCAATAAACTCATACTAATTCGCGAATGTTTTAAAATAAATAATAGGTGGTACTTGTAGGTTTCCATGGTAACTGAAAGAACTTTTATTCTTCTTTTGAATTTGAATTTCTTTCTTGTTGAATTTTTCTTATTTTTTTTCATTTGGAAGTAGTTTACAATCAATTCTCATTGAGAATTATAAGTAAATTATTCTGGCGTGCTACTATAACGTGAATAATAAATGATTATCGTATGTTTGGTTCTAGTTGAATCTAATGTTTAAATCTAATGTCTTTTTAGTCGTGTCAAGTAATTGAGTAATCAATGGGTTTTGGTGGTTGTTAATTCTTATGTTATATTTATTACTGAATTTGGATATTTCTTCTTTAACTGTAGGTATCTTTAGGTCGCGATGTACTGTTTCGTTGGTAACATAGCAAGGTGCATCTGTTAGGGATCTTAGAGTTTGTGATTGGAATCGTTGGAGAATTTCTATGTTGGAATTACTCGCTGTTCCCTATAGCTGGATCCCATAGGTCCAAACAGGTTTTAATATGGCTTTATATAGCATTATTTTGCTCTGAGTGCTTAAGTTGGAGCGACGCTCAATGAGCCAGTAAAATTTTTTAAGTTTAGCCTTGAGTTGCTTCGATTTGTCTGTGATGTCCTTTTTCCATGTCAATCTCCTGTCCAGAGTCACGCCCAGATATCTGACGGAATCCTTGTTAGGAATTGTGATATTATCAATGGTGACCTGAGGGCAGGTTTGTTTTCGCAGCATTATCACAAAATATAAAATGAAATAGAAGTGTAAAAGTGTATTTCTTGCAGCCGAAATGTTGTTAATTGTGCGTGAAAATTTTGCAGAATACTTTTGAACTAGGTCCTTGTCACAATATTTTGAATTAAATTAAAATATCAAAATTGGAAAATCAATGACAATGGTTCATTCAGAATAAGATGTAAATAAAAATGTTGTAAAAAAATGTAACGATATTGTATCGATATGAATTCAATTACTATTTTAAATAACTACGATTTCAGTATCGAATTTGCCAAAATTTGTTCCGCTGGACAGTGGCCATTTATGTATATACACTCACCCCAATAAAGAAATAAATCAATCGAATTCGAAGATGGTATCTCACTAGGGTAGTTATCCACATGTTATATTATTATACCACTAAGCTATAATATTTTACCAAATGTCCTACTGGACAAATTGTAAAATTCAAATAAATAAATAAAAAAAAAAAAGAAAATTTATGTATATACTATGCGTGTTAAACATAAATACGTATATGATATTTTGAAACTTTATTGACAGTGAGACAGGATTATCATGCTTATATTGGCGAAAATTTAAATCAATTTGAAAATGTGTATAATACACGCAGTAAATTAGTACACAGCCACGGAGAGCATTTTATACATATAATAAACGTTAAAAATGGCATCAGTGAATATTTAGAATTGTTGAGGTATAATAAATTAATTGCTTTTTCGCACACAACATCTATACATACATATTACACTCTGAAGACCTCGATAACCTTCTTATACGCACGCTTGTTGTTAAACAGACTATTCTAAATATTTCTAACAGCTACCAACAGTCTTTTGTCTCAAGTAAGACCTGGACGTCCTCTGACGCTTACACGCACATTCACATGTACAGTGTAAATGTATCATCTACCTAACAAGAATAAAATGGGTAATATAATATAATATAATTGAGTGTTTAAATACTTTTCGATCTTTACGAAATATGTACCTGCACTAAATACCATTTTGCAGTTTCTACGTACATTTTTAGATTTGTTTCAGACTTTATCAGACGCGATCATGATATTTGGATTGTTAAATGTTTCGTGCCACACACGATATATTCATTAAAAGTTTCCATAAATGATCGAATACTTTTTCGAACCAGCGTAAATTTATCAGATCGTGTCGTGTGTAGCTTTTTCCTAGATTCGTCAATTTTTAAAAACTAAACTCAAAATGTACGCTCAAGTCGTTTAACATTTGTTGAAACAATTTGCTGCACGTTCATCGCGCGGTTAATTGACAATACGGAACAATAACAAGATCGAGCAGCCGCCACACGGAATCAATGAACACGTACCAATTAACGTGATGCAGTTAATAGTTTCCCAGTCTCGATTGTCTCTCCTAATATTTATTCATTCCTTATCTCGTGCATCCTGACTACGTATTAATAATCTCGCACGAATATTCGTAGATACGCGTTCGCACGCGTGCTTCTATTGCTTTAAATAGCACGTGCCTCGAATATGATAACAGATAGACACAGGCCGGCCAGCATACGGAAATTTCGTTCCTTTCATGTTTCAAACATCTCCTATAGCTCCGTGTGTGTTCCATTCGACGAGTCAACAAAGTCAATTCGAACAATACTTTCGACAGAGACGTTTCTTCCGGACAAAGAAGCTTTCAAATAAAACAAAACGAACGCTTTAAAACGCTCTCTCTGTTTGTGTTATATGTACCTTGTAGAGTGTATCGAGACGTAACAAAATGCTTGTCGAGCTAAAATTCTCGCACATGAGACAGGTTGTTTTACCTTTTCAAATCTTCCGCGAACTGCCAGAGCTTAAGACTTTCTGGTTATGGCTCGATTATAAATTCCTCGAGCGATTCAATGGATTCAATGGATTTATTTATCATGTAGGCTATAGCGAGGTAAGAGGTCCAGAATAAAAACCAATTTTATCAAGCGACGCACCATTCGATAGTTTATCGAAAGCAAACGTTATAAACCTATTTTCACCACTTTGTCTAAATTTTGTTCAACTACAGTGCATCTTACCAACAAGTTTGAAAAAGGTTGGGAATAATAGTTATGCCAATATGTTGATATTGTAAATACAACAAAGTAAACGCTCTGAAACTTCAATACTAACTCCATATTTTTCAGCATCTTTTAGCGTTTTTCAATTTTTATACTTGGAATTTGTAACGAAAAAATCTAAAAAAAAATTTCTCTCTTGTTTCTCTCTTTGTTTACAATGTCTTACGATTTTTTTAGAATTTCTGCGTACCATCAAATAGAAAAAATAGGAAAAAGACGGTAAATCCGAATTTGGCCTATAACGACACTTCCGGTTGGGATAAAGGGTTGAAAATTGGTTTATGATGCGTCGATGGTGCATCACATGGTACCATCGCTTCGAGGCCGCTTTTGACCCCCCCGTCCTGTTATACTCTTTGCATTAAAGTTGACCGTTTTCTTTGCTTTTTCTCAAGCTTCTTCTGCTAATCTATATCAAAGGAAATAGATGATTTTGCTCAACATTAAATGTAGCGAATCAGTTACAACGACTAGTATCTGTAAATGTTTATGTGAAGAGGATGTTAACGTCGATCCATATCAGAGACCAGGCCGTTGTCACAACCGGCTCACTTTAAAATCGGAGATAAAGATGTGGCACGTATAAACAATGTATATCGCCAAAGTGCCTAATGAGCCATCAATATCCCAACGATCCTTCCGCCGAATATTCGAGGAGAAGGCGTGCGTGGCGGCGATCGCGGATGCCTAACAAACTCAAGGATAGTGGGGATATCGAAGGGTGACAAAAGACAAATAATCGAATCCGATCGGATGTCGAGTTGTAAGTCTCAGTGTTAAAAAGTTACGCCTAGAGCTCGGAAGAAAAATTGTGAATTGCGTTAGAAGAAAAATAGTTTTTTTTTCTATTTTTTTGTTGTTGTTCTCTTGTGTTATTTTACGTGACAAGGACGTGATACGAGGACGTGGTACGTGAGGTTTAATGCCGAGATTGCTCGTTGTTGTAACCGACTATATATTTAATATATTTAAAATAATAAATTAATATATAGCCGCATACGTGAGTCGTTAGTACGAAGTATAAATCGCAAAATAAATCACGGAATAAATACTCGTAAATGCTCGTCGCGTAACTCGATAGACACTCGAAGATATCGTAGGTACTGTTAGATACTCGTGATGCTCGCAGATACTCTCTAGATACTGTACGATACTCTACGATATTGTATCGCTCGCGATCGCGTCCGTTTATTTATACTGGTCGGGGGGAAATTCAAATTCGTCTTCATTCAACGGTTGCATGTAGCGGCGACATTGTTTTGCCCGGAGTCTATTTGTTTTTTTTTTATATTTACGTGGAGGAAATCCGCACGGACGCCAGGCCGCTTCTGGGGAAAACCTCCACGATGACCGTCCCGGCTGCGATCGAGAGGCAGCCCGGTTCCCCTATCGGACTGCTTGGTGGCCCCGAGGCGCTGAACCGCCAGCGTCCAAGCCCGAACCCCACCGGGAGGCGCGGCGGACCCAGCGCGCTTCGCCAACGCCACACGGAGTTCCCAAGCCATCACCCAGTCTATTTGTTCTTCTATGATTACTTGTAACCTAACGATCTTGGGCAAAACAAAACTCCGAGGCAAAACAACAACATGATTTGAATTGTCCTTTGACTCGTGTGCCGCTACATATCTAATTGTTTATTTTTCTAATTATCATAATCGCACAAGTATTCTTGGTAATTACATATTAACGTTTACTTTCATTGAGACAGGAATATGACTAATATTAGTCAATTGTTTTCGTTATATCGCTATAATACTAATTAACTATGTACATATTTAGATATTGTATATTTATTTTAGATATTATGTATTTATGTACGTGTTTTAAAGTTTTAGTGTTGAAAAAGAACAGAAAAAATTAATTTCTTGTATTCTTTTTGAAAGGATACATTTCAAAAATATACGTACCAAGTTGTATACTGAGATTAAAACTAAAATCAACGAAGCTTTAAGTGTTCGAAGAATACAACGGTTGTATGTTGAAACATAAAATTCCTTATTATAAGAATAAAATTTTTTTCTAAAAAATCTCCTATCGTTAGAAATTCGAGCAGCAGAGTAAATTCAATTTTTCCCTTAATCTAATCAGCGGTCCATTCGATATATCCATGACGTCTTAAGATTTACTTGATTAGTTGCAAATTTCGAACGTAATTCTAGGTGTTTCAATCATATCAAATTTATTATTTCATACATCAAACTTACTCTTTTTCCTCTGCATTGTTTCATTTCTTGCAAAGCATCTTCTTACAAAAAAATAAAAAAAAAAAAAAAAAAAAAAAAAATCGGTGATGAAACTTTATCTTCTGTAGTCAAAGTCTAATTAAGACTCTTTTTGGTTCAAAAGAAAAACAGGGCTCAAAATCATACTTTATGAAGAAAACATAAATGGACAGACCGCAGACTCCAGATGGAGATACAACATGGCCCTCCCCCGGAAAGACACCAAAGACAAACACAGAAAAAACACAAAAAAATACTGGTGGATACAGAACCCATAACAAAATAAGAGAAAACATTAAACCGACAGAACTCAATTCTGACACCGCATAACACAGGTGTAAAATGTAAATATTGTAAATATTTGTAAATAATCCTATTTGACATCCCCCCACCCCATCCCTCTCATCCCACCCCTCCCCAAAGTTACACAGCACCCAAAAAGCAGACTACC